GCCACTACTTCGAGTCTCATCCTCACAGGGGAAACTAATGGAGAAATTAAAAAAAGTTCACTACTTAAATACCTACAGTTTATTCGGTGGACGAATCTAAGATATATTTTACACCATCCAACACCTGGTTCTTTTTGGGAAGGCTCTCTCCTGGTTGATCAAAATATATGGTGAATATAAATGATTATTATCTTTAGGAGATAATCGGAGCAATAATACTTGCATGTAGTGTTGCATCAGTCTGATGGAAGAACCGGACTATCAGCTTAGTGGTCAGTTTATGAGTTTTAGGTCATTGTGGTTGTGTAAATAATTTACCTTCGTTGATCGCTTGTTTTACGCATGTCACCGGATAAAAGTTTTTGGTACGTTGTCGAGTTATATGAAAAATCAAGTCTTGGAGAAAATCATGTTTGCGAATTTTCGGAGACATGAGGTGTTGAGTCTGTGTCAACCGTTTTTTTACCTACGCTGCTTAAGTCTTTTTATGAATGTATATTTCACACACGTCTGATGTCAGACTGTGTGCCAAACAAATCGTGGTACAATAATTTTTATAAAAAAGAAAAACGCTCCACGATTTTCTAGTGGGCCGAATACTACCAGGTTACCCAGGCCAAGGTAGATGAATTTTCTTGAGGAATTCACAACCGGAGCCTTTGGCTAGCCAAAGCCTGACCCGCAAGGCAGCCGGGAAATCCATTGGGAGCTGGTGCCCAGTTCATCGGATCATACGCCTTTCGGACAGGGGTCAAACGTCCAAGGTGCCCAATACACCTCGATGCCCAATCGAGCCGGCGACCATTGCCACAACCGGAAAGGTGTGGGTGTGGTTCGTACGCCTCTTGGTNCTCACCTAGGTGGACTGTCAATGGTTCACCAACCTGGTTATAGCCCCGGGTGTCGGTTTTTCGTCCTCTCACTTTGGTGCAAAAACACCTGCGCCATGAGAAGGCAGTGAGTAGAACTTCCTCAGCAGAGACTGTTTGAGACGCTTGGTCGTATGGGAGCATTTCGCGAGGTGCAAGGGACGGGTAACTAGCCGCCACCCAAGACGTCCACCCCCGACCATACTGAGGATTTCGGAGGCCTTTTATGAAGGTGTATCTGTCATACAGATAAAACCTGTCACTCATTTCTGAAAAGCTTTTAAAGCACTACAGCTGCTATAAAACTGCAATACAGACTTCGGTTCAGAATATGCCTACTATTATCCATTGGGTTAAGTTCTGGGCTCCACAAAATCCACACCATGACCTCAATACCAGCTGTTTGTCAAATGTGAATCGTGAACTGCGTAATTGTCTTACTGGAGTAAAACTCATATCCAGACATCTCAGACATGGATATTTATATCGGGATCTTGAGCGCCATGGGATATCTCGTTACCGCTTGAACCATGAATCAAAGTGCACCTCATTTCATTCAGTGACGGAAGTGCTGTTGTTTAATCACACCGACGGTAGTTCCATTCGACCGATCAGCCCAAGTTGAATTTCTTTTTATCACTAAAATAGACACATTTCTCTTTTTCGATTATGTTACGTGAGTTTCATTCCACAATAGCTGAGTTTCTATTTAACGTGCTTGTTCAAAACTGTGCCTGCACTCGCCCGCTGTGGTGATCAGCTGGAAGTGGTTGACAGCTTTGGGTACTTCAGGAACTGGATCACAGCTGGAGGTGGTGTTTGGGCGATCATATCACGAATAGCGAAAGCTAGAGCAGCTTTTTCCAACCTGTAACACCATGACATCCGATTGTCCCTTAAGGAGAGGGTAAATATTGCCGCGATTCCTAGTGTTCTGCTATACGGTTGCGAGACTCCGCGTTTAGGATGCTAAGCGGCTTTCTGTATTCGACCATCGATGTCTCCGAAGCATTGCTGGCGTCTGGTGGGAACATCGGGTGAGCGATGACGAGGTTCATCGTCGTGTGTTGGGTGCGGATAGTCGTTCTCTGAAAGAATTAATCGCTCTACACTGCCTCCGGTGGCTTGGTCACTTTTTATGTGCCCGCTCATCGTATACCTTTCCGTGCCCTCTTTGCACGTGCTAAGCAAGGTGGAAAGAAGCGGCGCGGCGGTCAGACCATGATAGGGCGTAGAAGTATGAAGAAGCCTGCCTCAGCTTTGGCTTCGGTTGGTGCAGCCCTCCCAAGGGATGACGATTATCGTTGGTTAGAGACGCTAAGAGATATGATCCAGAATAGAAGTCAGCGGTGCGAATGTTGTACGGTCTACCTGCTGAAATCCTGTGCTCCGTAAAAAACGACAGCCTAACAAGCAATAAGAGTGTACGGTGAAATACACACAAATAGTTGTTATTCTTGTTATCTA